GAAGGAAGGAAGGAAGGAAGGAAGGAAGGAAGGAGGGGTTCCTTGATTTTCAACCCTCTGCTCAATTCAAGATCTACATTGATGACTCCTAACAGAGAGCCATCAATAATGGATATTGCATTTAGGGTGTAGTCTTATTTCTATAGAAATTAAATCTGTGACTTTTAACAGAGCACAGCTGTTGCATAAGTAGACAAAATTTAGTCACAGCTTCAACAGGCACATGTGGTTGGCATTCCAATGATAGGAGTGGAAGAATGTATCCTTGCTAATAGACTTGGATTTCAGGTACAGGAAGAATTTAAATGACAGGGGAATTTCCCAACTGAAGTTTCTCGAATGATTTCCCCTTTTGCCATCTCTGCCGGCATGCCGTGAATTCAGTGCCAATGTGAGATTCCCCCTGAAGTGGGCTGGTGAGATAGAGGAGAGGCACTATTGGGAAACAAGGAAGGACAAACACTGTTGGGTCACTGTTTCTGCTAACCCTGCGGAGTCCAGGCTCTCTATAAAAAGGCAAGGCAGCTGAGTCAACAGCCTTCACAGACTCTGCAGGAGCAGTCTGTGACTGACAGCTCTGCAACACCTTGCCTGAAAGCCACCGGAGGGGGGAAAAAATGAAACTTGCCCTCCGAGCCACGCTGTCCTTTGGGCTGCTGGGTAAGTGAATGCAGGCTAACAGATAGTAACAGCTCCAGCATCAGAGTTGCATGATGCAATTAAAAGGGCAACTTCTTTTCAAAAGGAAAACTACTTTTCTAAAGGAAAACCTTTAACTAGGATATTTCTTTCTCTTTTTATTGCATTTATTTTCCACCTTTCCTTTTGATAACTCAGGTTGGCATATATGGGGTCTTCCTTACTTTTATCTTTTCACCAACCCTGAAGGTTGGTTTGGCTAAGAAAAAGACTAGTGTAAACTCACTCAGCAAACTCCATGGTCATATGAGGACCTGAATATAGATTTCCCTCATATAATACCTTACCCACTACACTACACCCACTGCCTTATTTCAGATACTTGTTTTTAAAGAGCTAGACAATTGCAGAAACAATTCCCAGAAATTTCCTTTTTAGCTGGGGACTGGGTCCAAGAATTCTGCCAGCTTCAAACGTATGTTTTTTAAAAGTGAAGATTTAAGCTTCAGTTTAAGCACATGCTGAACCTGGAGCTAGAGTTTCTTACAGTCTGAAATAGGTGATTATTTCATAAATTAATTAGAAGTGAGTTCAGAGCCAATAGAAGAAACTAAAAGAATACTATTTTGATGAAGAAGAGTGCAATATTATATTATTAACTATGAAAACATGTGCTTTGATCAAGGAAAATTAGGGTGAGATTTAAGAAATATTTCCAAGGTAACATGATTGCAAGCTAAAGAAAACTGTAGGAGAGAAATGGTGAATAAGAGTTAGGTTGGTTAGTTATTCCTCTGCCAATTAAATTGTCCCTGCAAATACTTTTTGACTTCTTTCCTGGTGAGATTAGAACAAAATACAGGTAGAAGGGGCAGGTATGAAATTGAATAGACACTCTTCTCATCACAATTAGCCCCTGCAATTGTTTTCTCCTTTCTCCTACACAGGATTACAAAGTAAACCTGAGTGTGGGAAACCCATTATATTTCTTTTGTAATGTGATCTTGAGGACTGAAAATGATGGGATGTGCAACACATCTGAAAGGCAGAAATTTTGGAAAATTGATCTACTTGGCAGTGGCTTTCCTAAGTTTCAGAATAGGAACTTTCTCAGCAACATCAGTAAGCTGAGGCTGTTCCTTGAATTAGGGCTCAACAAAACATTGTATTAACTCTGTTATTTTAAATAACATGCCCACATTTTTTAAAATCCCTCTGTGCAAATTTTGGGGCTGGAATCAAGATCATGAGACAAGTATGTAAGGAAAGGGCAGGTTAACACAATCTTCCTCTGATCTTATAAAAATCTCAATAAAAGTTCTTTTACAGAACAGATAATCAGATGTCCCCAGATTCAGTTCAATTGCCAATATCCACAACCAGCAGAGTTAATGGCAAGGGATTGTGCAGGGACCCAGAATGTCTATTTCAAAGGTTGTCAATCTTTTCATGTGATACTCACCATCACGCATTGGTGCAAGTTACTGAGTAATAAAAATAATGAACATTTATAATGTAAAGGAGAATATGAAAATTACATGCATGCCATGAGTTGACATGTGATGCCTGGTACACAGCTAACATGAATTGCTGCAACACAGCTGTAATTCAGCAGAGATTGAAAAACCACAACATATGCAATGGATTGATATGCATATGTAATACAAAGTGACCCCAAATGTTCTATATTATATTGGTAGAAATCATGACAGATAATGAAATTGCTCTAAGCAGAGTTAGCTTTTCATTATCCTAGGACACAATGTAATACAGTACATAACTTAGGACAAGTTTTTTGTAGGCTGGTTGAAGAGCAGAACTCTGATGGGGAAATTGCTAAACAGTGCACAGCTTAAAGAAAAATTCAAATACTGGGCAAGATCATCTATCTAATATGCATCTAGCTACAGCTAAGAAACCTTTTGAACTTATTATGGTAAATCAGAAATAGGCAACCTGGGACCATTTAGATGTTTTAGACAATGTCCCTGTAGGTGGGTGTGTGCCTTCAAGTCAGTTTTTGACTCCTGGTGACCACCTGGACAAGTCCCTGCAGTTTTCTTGGCACGTTTTTCAGAAGTAGTTTGCCATTGCCTGCTTCCTAGGGCTGAGAGAGAGTGACTGGCCCAAGGTCATCCAGCTGGCTTTGTGTCTAAGACAGGACTAGAACTCATGGTTTCTATTTGGATGCCTTAACCACTACACCAAACTGGCTCATCCTTTACTATTGACTATTTTGGTTAAGTGTATGGGAATCGTAGTAGAACATCTAGAGAACATCGGATTGCCTACCTGAAATCTAAATTATCTGTATATTAAAAATCAGACTGGGTCTTTTTTGTTTTGTTTTGCTGTTTCTTGTTTTGTTTTTGCAATTGAGCTTGTTTTGCCATAAACATTACTATTAGAGTCAAGTAAAGTGATTTGCTAAAAAAGCTATTTGCTTTTAAAGATCTGTATGAAGCTGGTAGAAGAGATCATGCAGTAGCACTGCCTATATTTAAGGGATGCCAGAAAGGTTGGAAAAAATATAGAATTGATATCTTGATTAGATAGCAGGTAAGAGCCTGACATGATAACACAGAGGCTTTGATGGTCATTAGATAAAACTGGTACAAAACAGTGCAGTTAGATTGTCTTTTGGTGTACACTTTATAGATTATTTTACACTTATTCTATATCATTGAACAGGTATCAAGTGCATTTCTGGATCCAGTTTTAATATACTGGTTCTTAATATAAAGTCCTAAATTGTTTGGGGCCAGAATATACTGAAAAAGCCATATCCTTACATATGTACTTGCCATATATTTTGGTATGAGGCCCTGTTATATGTCCCACCAATGAAATAATTTAGATGATGGAAAATGTGTGACTTCTGTAGCAGCACCATGATTAAGTAACTTCTTCCCTAAGGAGTTTAGATTATCCTCTTCACTGATTAGTTCTGTGGGATAACAAGAACATTCCTGTTCTGCTCAATATGTATTGTTTTTTAATGTTTGGCAGCCAGTTTTACTCTCTGGAAAGTTTTTAAGTCTGTTTTTAATCTTAATTGCATTTAAATTGCTTTAATGACTGATTCATATCCCTTACTGAAGCCCAAAAGACCATTTCTAAACTGTTTTGCAAAATATAAAATCTTCTCAGTAATTTATCTATAATGTATTGCTAAAGAGTGCAATCCTTTTTTCTATCATTTAGCATGCTAATCACCTCCACAGATCACCACTTTTTCATATAATAATAATGTAATTGTAATTTGTTAGCCATTTAGATATGCAGTATCCACAATCTTATTTCTAGTTAATTTCATTTATTAACTTTCTTACTCTGTGTCTGCTTTTCCTACATGATCTTAAACTGAAATTGGATTTCAACTGGATTTTAGGAGTGTCTGCTGACATATCTTCAAACAGAGGACTACCTTTTGGAAACTAGAAAAGATACACTATCTATATACAAAATCTGTGCTGCTTCTATGTTCTACAAAATTAGTAGTAAATATAATCTTACATATAAAATGGACTGTGAATATCAGGTGACAGAGCCTCTGTTCAATAAGTGTGGCGACCCAAATATTTATATATAATCCAGATATTCCTGTCTATGGGGTGCAAAGTATCACCCCTACAGTCAATAAAAATGAATTTAATCCACTGCAGTTCAGTAATCCTTTTAATCTGATTTCGTAAGTAATTTAAATGTGGAGAAAAGCTTCAATCAGGCAGCGCTATCAACCATTGTTTTAAGAACTGTGATATTAACATTATTTGCCCCTTTTTCATTCTTTCCATAGCTCTGTGTCTTGCAACTTCTTCTGTAAGATGGTGCACAATATCCAATGAAGAGCAGGCAAAATGCACAAGGCTGCAACAGGAATGCTTTCCCCCCCAACAATCCAAGGAATTGCCAGTACTGAATTGTGTGAGGAAGACTGATCACCAGGACTGCATAAGAGCTATTAAAGTAAGTGACCACTGAAAGCTGGATAGGAAAGCTGGAGAATTTCCCTGAGTTCATTGTGCAAGGCAACCCAATTTTTTATCCCCCTGCAAAGAATGATTGATTTGAAAGGTTCTGGATGGAGATAAAAAGAGGAGCAAGTAGAAAATAGAATCTGATACAGGATTCTGATCCTGTATACAAATCTGATACATGGAAGCAGAGTTTGGAGGAATTTGCCTGGACAATGGGAAAGCTGACATAGCCTGAAATGATGGAATCAATATAAAATAGTTTTGTCCATTTATTGGATTTTCAGATAGCAGGATCAGCCATTCACTGCTTGCATGTTTTAATTGTTACATCAATAAAATGTTACCTACAGGGGGTCTGCAGGGGGTAGTCAAAAAAATCAAAAGACAACCATGACCATGCGATTGAAACTTCCTTTCCTTTCCTTTCCTTTCCTTTCCTTTCCTTTCCTTTCCTTTCCTTTCCTTTCCTTTCCTTTCCTTTCCTTTCCTT